ACTGATAAATATAAAATTTGGCGCCTGATAACACAAGATGAAACCCTTGTGTGGGTTTCACAAGGAGCGCGTGGCGGGTAATTCAGATTTGCTGGCAATTTTATAATTAAACCCGTTGCTGCTGTGGATTCGTGAAGAAAACCGTTTCCACGGTTAATTGGGCAGGGGTAAGATGTTTCGGAGCTAACACCGCTGCCTTTCTGTTCTTTGCAGAGGGTCTCCGGACAGGGATGGCATCGTAAGTATTGCACGCGCCCCGCTCCCGCGTCTCCCTCCTCCCGCGGCCCCTGAAATGCCGATTTCTCCATCAGCCACCATCGGCGTTTTGCGAACCCTCTCTTCCTTTCTGTTTAATATAAAACCTAAATTTCCGTAAGAAGCTGTCTGTTTAAAACAATGACGTATTCCGGGTTTTCCGCAAAATTAACATAGAGAAAATAACAATAGGGAAAGTGCTGATGAGCGCCGTGGGCAGAGGGACCGGGCATCCGAACCCCCCGCCCCGCATCCTCCTTTCTACTCCCACTAATTAGCTTGGGTCAGATTTGCTGTGTGATGAGTTAAGGGAAAATTGCCAGAACCAGCTGTTTCTAGTACCTATTTTTATTTTCTATATTAAACTGAAAATAAGGAGATCCTTGGGTGGGAGGTTTGGTGTTGTGTTTTTTTTTTTTGGAGTTATTGCTGCTTTTATTTGTGGTGTGAAATAGAAACGACCTGGGCAGGAGAGGGACCGCGTCCCCTTTAGCGGCTTTATTTTTATTTTGCAAATAAGCACGTTAGGTTCAGGCTGGGCCCTCGCGGGTCGTTATTTCTTGAGCAAATTCAGGTGTTAGAAGCTCACCTTAAAACAAAAATGAGAGGCCCTCGGGGGGCTCGGCAGGGAGAGAGCTGCTGGGGTGTCTTTTACGAAGCCATACAAAAATCAGGGTGCCAAATTGCTCCTTTAGAGAGATCGCTTTTTTAATTTTTCTTTCACTTCTGACCAGAGATCCTTGGCTTTGGGCTCGCCCTGCGTTTGTACTCCACTTGTTAAGAAATACTGATTTTTTTTTTTTTTTTTTTTTAAAAAAAAAAAAAAGATTGAAAAAAAGAGCCTGCAGCTCAGGTAGCGCTTTAACCAAGGCTCTATTCAGCACTAATAAATAAATAAAATGCAAGGAGCATCCCAGAGCCGTTCCCTGCACTGGCAGAAGTGCTGTGGGCAGGCAGGGACCTTGGGTGAGCGTGGGTGCCCTCTCAGTCGGGCTCCTCTCCTTGATTTTTATTTTTTTTTTTTTTTTCTGGGTGTCCAAGCTCAGTGCAGGGCAGGACAGGGTCTCTAGTCCTCCAGAAAGCTGAAGGATGCAGAAATGTAATTTTTTTGGGGAGGTATAATGAAGCCACTGAATGTATTTTTGAGGCAGGGGAATAGGCGGATGGAGATGTGTAGTCGAACTCTTCCTCCTGCAACGCGTTCTCACCGGAACATTCGCAGCAGGAGGTGAGGTGGCAAATCCTCTGACTGCTGAACAGAGCCCCGTTACCTGCCCCCAGTAAAAACCACGCTTGCTCCTAATGGAGCCACAGCTGAGCCCTCCTTGTAATTTATTTTTGGGGTTTTTTTTGTGTTTTTTTTTAATAATTAAAACCCACCCAATACTTTAACCCCTTTTCTGCCAACCCGCAATCCCTTCCAGCTGCCCAGCCCTCATCCCAATGAGCCACCTTGCAACAGCAAACCCCAGAGCGTGCGTGAAGGAGGAAAAATTAAAAAAAAAAAAAAAAAAAGTAAGGAAAACAGCTTGGTTTACAGCTACAAAAGGGGGGTTTAAAAACAGTGAGTAATTTTTTTTTTTTTTTTTTTGATTTAAAGTCCAGAATATAGGAAAAGACCATTTAGGATCTATCAGGTGGATGTATGTGAGTTGAATAGAAATGGAGTTAAATACAAACAGACAGGGGGAAAAGCAGAAGTCCCACATAACTGTATCCAGAGTCTGATGATTTTATTTTTTTTTTTTTTCACCCTTGTGCCTCTGATGAGGCGTCTCCATTCTCGGGCAGCATTGTGAGGACCGTCGGGTGAAACGGGGAGGGTGAGGGTGCTGGTGGCCTGACCCAGCTTCTGTCCTGCTGCTGCCCCGGGACGGCGTGCTAGACCCTTGGCGGGGGTGATGCCTCTGGCAGCTGAAGGGAACTGCATTATTATCTAATTTAGGTGCCCAAAATTGAGAACCCAGCCTGACCTCGGTCCCTGAGCTGGCTTTGCAGCGCTGCTCACTGGCTGCGGTGGCCAGTGAGAGCTTTGGGCGTATTTATTTTTTTTTGGGGGGGATACCCAGAAAAGAGCATCACAGGGCATCCTGCAGGCGATGGACGCCCAAAGAGCATCACAGGGCATCCCGCAGGCGAGGGACGCCCAAAGAGCAACACAGGGCATCCTGCAGGCGCTGCGCCCAAAGAGCATCACAGGGCATCCCGCAGGCGATGGACGCCCAAAGAGCATCATAGGGCATCCTGCAGGCGTTGGATGCCCAAAGAGCATCACAGGGCATCCTGCAGGCGAGGGATGCCCAAGGCCTCCTTCCAAACCAGCTCCCGCCTCGGTCCGAAGCAGCGATAACCTCTGTGTGTGTTGTCGGTGTGTCGTGACATGCACTAATGCCCCATCCCTGCCGGGTGAGCCCGGACACCTCTCACCTGGCTTTGCTGTGGTGTGAAGTTGTGACACCCGGTGTGCTCTGCCGAAGCCGAATCCCTCTTTCAGCGTCTTCTGGGGAAGGTGTTTGTCTCCCAATAAACGGGGCTGCGCTACCTGTGCTCGGCAGCCAGCTCTCCCCATGGGCTGGAACACTCCAGCACGCGGAGAAATGTCCCTTTCATTTCTCTTTCTTAAGAAATGTTGTACGTTCAGCTAATGAATGTTCCAAAAGAAAAAGCCTTTTAGCTCTCTGGTACTGAAGACTTCCCAGAAATGGGAAATGCTGATGTGCGTGGGCAGAGCGGCTCTCCGTCGTGCCTGCGCGGGCAGCCGCAGCAGTGCCCGCACATCCCAGCCACGCCAAACGCACGCGCGTGAGGTCTGCTGGCTTCTTGTGTCCGCAATTTAAAGCTCGGAAATTTTCTTTTCCAATGTGTTGCAGAAGAAAACCAATGGAGCCCCGAATGGATTTTACGCGGAGATCGACTGGGACAGATACGTAAGTGTCCCACGGAGGTTCCCCTCCCTCCATCCAGCTCCCGACAGGGGACACTGTGGTGCAGCCATGGTTGTTTTGGGTGATGTACAGGTGTTAGCTGTGTCCAGATACATATTTCATATTTCATGTTAATTAAATAGCATAAGACTGCCAAGAAACTGGGTGGCTCCAATGCTTGATGCCCTGCAGGTGAGGAGAGGGCTGCCGGTGGCTGCAGGATGCTGCAGTTACCCAGAGGAAACCCTGGGTTGCAACCAAACATTGCAAAAAAAAAAAAAAAAAATTCTGCAAAAAATTGAACACTGCAAAAGTTTATCTGTGAAAATGGAGCACTGGGAAAAACAGTTCCTCCCCGAGTCTGGGTGCTCAGCCCCTGCGAAATGCCCCAGTGGGTACCATTCGCTCTGTGCAGCCCCAGGGGCCACCAGTGGTCTTGGGCTGCACGGGGCTCCGCTGGGTGTCATGTCCTGCAGGAGGAAAGAGCCGCTCCAGCTTTCCAGGAACAGAATCAGTGTTTCTAATTCTTCTGGATTTTTTGTGTGCGTGTGTGTGTGTGTGTGTCCTATTCAGAATTCACCTGAGCTTGATGAGGAGGGATACAGCATCCGACCCGAGGAACCAGGCTATATCCTTTATTGTTGGCTTTGCCTCTCGGCTTACAAACCGTAAGACAAGCTGGGGCTCGCAGGCAGGACACCGACTATTTTTATTTCTTTATTATTGTCATAATTTATTTTCCCCTCTTTTATTTTCCTTTTGAACTGCCACTCCAAAGCTGAAATTGGCTCCCAGGGGGAATTACCTGAGGCAGTATTTAATTGCCTTTAATTCCGTGCTATGAAACGAGGAGGAGGTGTGAGCAGCGCAGGGACCGCCCCAGTGGGGTACCCCGTGGAGACCCCGATGTCCCCTCCCATGTGCGGACGCTGGCTGTGCGGTGCTTTGTCACAGCCGGTGCTGTTTCGGGGCAGAAATGCTCTGGGCGGCAGTAAAAGCAAAATGAGCAAAGATGGATTTGCGGCTCCCGCGGTGGTGGCCCAGGCAGGGGCAAGGAGACGGTGGTGGCCAGAGCCCCGTGCACGTGCTGAGTTCGTCATGTCCTCTGCCCTACACATGGTTTAAGCAGTAGTGATGGGCACGGTGGGACGATTTACCCCTACACGCACCGTTCCCGCCCTGGGGCGTTTGGGCTAAGCAGTTTGGGAAGACCTAATTCCCACCCTTCAGGGAGGCTTGAGCCTTTGAATGGCCAAGGCTCTGCCCTCGCAGCAGAAGGAAACCTTCTTTAACTGTGC